ATACGGATTTAAACTTAATGCCATTAACCATTTATATAGACTATATATATATATATATATGTATATATATGTATATGTATATATATATATATATATTTACATAATATGAAGTAAATATATACCACTATGTGCATAAATAGTATATATGCAACATAAACACTAAATATAATTAATATATATATATATATATATAATTTATTTAAACTCACGATAGGCGTGAGGCACAAGGGGAGGGAGATGAAGACGACGGCCAATGAAATGACCGCAAAATGCAGAAATGACCGAAAAACCCGAAGACTGAGCGAAGTCTCTGAAATAAAATAAACAATTAAAAGTAAATATTTAAATTAACATTTAAACTTAATAATTAGATTTAATAAGCATATTAAATAAGCAAGTTAAATAATTAAATTCAATAATTAAATAATTAAATGAAATTAAATAATAAAGTGGAATAACTACATAAAATAAAAATAAGTTGAGAAATTAAATAAATTGAATTAAATTAAATAAAACCGACCTAAACAATTGAAAGGAAATAAGATTAATTAAATGAAATGAGTTTAAGTAAGTCTAATTAAGTTGGTTAAATTAAATCAATTTACTTAAAGTAGAGGCATCAGTAAAGTAGCGAAAACAAACAAATTTAAACCATTGGTTAAATGGAATACTCAGCAGCACCAAAGCAAAAGAGAATAGCAACGAAAACAGCAGAAAATAAACAAAAAGAGAAGGGGTGAATAAAACAAGCAAACCAAACGGCATAAAACGCATTTATTATTAATGCAATAATAATAAACACAACAACAACAAATATAATCATCACTGCAATTGTTATTAAAATTACGTGTATGAAAGCGAAAGACAAAAACAATACAAAAAGGCAGACACAAACCCCAAACAAATACACATACGCCAGCAAGTAACTGTCCACAACAAACCCTAAACCCTAAACCCTAACAGCGAACAGGAGGGCAATGAAGCGCCTCACTGAATGACTTTGCCTACTTCCCCTATGGGCCTTCCTGGCTTAACAGACCGAATGGCCACCTCCAAGCACTCCTGCACACCACCACAAACCCTAAACCCTAAACCCTAAACCCTAAGCCCTAGACCACGAAAAGTGTGGCTACAGGCCTAGGCCACGAAAAGTGTGGCTACAGTGGGCGTTGAATGGCTCGGGGTTCGGGTTGTTTAGGAAAGCATTGCTCAGATGTTTATTTTCTTTTGTTTGTAGTATATACAACCCGTCCCCCTGTCTTGCTGTGCATGCATCTAGGCTTTCAGGTGCATGAGGTGTATGACTTTGTTTGTCTCCTCTCTTTATATCCATATACTCTGCTGCTGACAGCTAAAAAGGCTGAAACACGGGGATTGATATTCGCTCTCTAGGGTCTAGGGTTTATGGTTTGGGCTCCATTGTGTAGGGTTGATGAAGTAGGCTTCACAGTTTAGGGTTTAGGAGTTGTGCTCCATAGTGCGGGGTTTAGGGTTTAGCGTTTAGGGAACCATGTTGAGGGTTTAGGGTTTAGGGTTTGCTTGCCTTTGCAGCTGCAACAAGCTCGGCGTGTTGCGGTGCTACAGAGCCAACAGCAACGGTGGCTGCGCAGTCCCCTGCAGAAAAGAGAAGAGAGATAAAAGGATTCATTTTTCTTTTTGCATGCAATTTAAATTAAAACAAACACAAAAATGCATGTACAGGTTACTCCATCGATTAAATCAGAGGCGGTACCCGCGACAGATGGATTATGTCTGCATGCATCCTTCCGCAACTTTGGGGCTTTCTCTGCCACTCCATGCACGCATGCATGCATGTGTTGTTTTGGGGCTTTGTTTCTGTGTGCATGCATGCACTGTTCCATGCGCTGGTTTAGGGCTGCGTTCCCGTTTGCATGCATGCATGCACGCATGCATGCATGCAAGAAGAGGCACTTTTCTTGTTCTTGTTTGTGGGGGGCATATTACCGAAAAACCCGTCAAGAAAGGCGGTGCAGTCAAAAGATATAATATCTCCCTCCTCTAAAGGCCGCAGGTTTGGAATGCCGTGGCAAGCCACTGCAAACAAACCCTGAACCCTAAACCCTAAACCCTAAATTGTAGCCCTAGGCCCTAAACCCTAAACCCTAGACCCTAAAACCCTGTAACTAAAAACTGTTAACCCTTAAAACCCCAAAATGAACAAGAGAAAGGGATACACACATCAACAGACAGAAACAACAACAACACCAACAGCAGCAACAGCAGAAGGGAGTCCTTGCCGTCATTGACAGCGGCGCAAATGGGCGAAAGAACCGAGACAAGAGACCAAAACAGAGACAAAGACAGCAGCAGCAGCACCACCACCACCACCACCACGACCAGCAGCAGCAGCGACACCAACAACAGCAACAGCAGCGACACCAACAGCAGCAGCAACAGCAACAGGAGGTAGTTCTTGCCTTCATTTACAGAGGCGCAGATGGCCTTTGGAAATCCAAAGAAATTCACCGCGGCCGGATAAGCACCGCGCGAAATCAAAAAGCGATGAACAGCGCCGTCAATTGCCTCCGTAGTTACTCCTGCAGCAAACAGGATCAGCAGCAGCAGCAACAGCAGCAGCAACAGCAGAAGCAGCAGGACAGCAGCAGCGGCGAAGCAGCAGCAACGAAAGCAGCAGCAGAGCAGCCATGAAGGTAGCAGCACCAAACGAAAAACGCAAACAGCAATAACAGCACCAGAAACAGCAGCAACACAGCAGCAGCAAAGTAGCAGCAGCAGCAGCAAACCAGCAACAGCAAAACAAAAACAATTAACGCATGTTGTATTTTGTGTTTTCTTCTGTCTTCATCCGTGTAGCTGCCTCTGCAATTATCTTTGTCTTCGTCTTTATTTATATCACGTATATTCCTATTTACTGAATATTTACAATTTTACATTTGCATTAACATTTATCTTTTTTTCTATTTCTATTTCTATTTATATATTTCTGTTTACTTCTATTTTAAAATATATATATGCACTTCTACTTCTATTTTCCCCCCATATATATATATATATATATATGCATGCATACAGATGCATTTATTTATTTATTTATTTATTTATTTATTTATTTATTTATTTATTTTGTTTACCGGGTTTGGCGTTATTAACTGCGAGGCGAAGGGCGGCAGCAGCAACTTCGCAAACTTTGCGTATTTTTTTGATATTTTCTGCTGTCTGAACTTCACCCGCCTCGTCAACAGCCCAATTAAGTGGGTCTTTAAACAACTCTTCTTCTCCATCTTCTTCTCCAGCAGCAGCATCACCAGCAGCAGCAGCAGCAGCAGCAGCAGCAGTAGGTGTCTGAGGCCTCCCATCTGCTGCAACAGCGTAGGGAGGGCGACGGAGGCCCCGCGGAATTTCGTGGGCGGGCAGCACCGCATATTTACCTTGAAAGAAAACAGAGAACAAATAGATAAATAAATAAATAAATAAATAAATAAATAAATAAATAAATGAGTGAATAAATATACGCACGCGAATACAGAATATACATTTAAACACAGAAACGTCAAAAACCAGCAGGGAGATAAATAGAAAAGAATAATATAATAAACCATAAAACAAATAAATAAATAAGTAAACAAACAAATGAACAAACAACAAACACGCAAATAAACAAGTGGGTCTGACATTTATGTATCTGTTTGCTTAATATAATAAACTTATTTGTTTATATAACATTAATATATTTGTTTCCTGAATGCTGCTTATTCATTTATTTGTCTACTGCCCTTTCTTCATCATTTCCTTCAATGCCATTTATTCGTTCATGTCCAATGCTATGTATTTATTTGTTTGTTTAATGCTATTTATTTATTTGTTTGTTCATTTAATGCTATTTATTTATCCATTTAATGTTATCTATTTATTTCTAATAAACACCTTCTGTTAGCGTTGGGGCGAAAAGCCGCTTCTGGGGTTTGAGACGGCCGCCTGAAAAGAGCGGAGTTGGCAATTCTCCTGCAGCAGAAGAGAAGAACCTGCCTATACACCTCAACACAGGAAATGCTGCTGCTGCTGTTGCTGCTGCTGGTGCTGCTCTTGATGCTGCTGCACGTGCTGGTGCTGATGCTGTTGCTGCTGTTGCTGCTGCTGCTGGAGAGAGGCACCGGCTGCTGAGAGCCGCGGGTAGTCTCCACTTGGGAGGCGCAGAAAGAACACCCAAGTTCATCTTCATGGAAATGGAATGAGAGAATTAGTAATACGAAACAAAGAGAGAAAAAGAAAGAAAGCAGACAGACGGAAAGATAGAGATATACAATAATAGACGAAGAGAAAAAAACAGACCGCAGCAGCGATAACCGCGAGAAAGAAAAATAGACAGATCGAAGAGGCGAGAGAAGAAAAGAAAACGCTGGCAAGAGAATGCCGCACTAGAAACAGATGAATAGTTATATTTCGTATTTATAAGGGAACCTCGTATTCGCTGAAAGAATACGCAAGACGGAAGCCGCTACGCTGCTGCTGATCCCTAATAAAGAAGAGAAGAGGACGAACAAATAGATAAATAATTGATTCCTTATCCAAATCAAGAGAAGAGGAAGAATGACACACAGAAAGTTCAGAAGAGACCATGAAAGGCAATTCAACTCAACCGGCTGCGGTATACAGATACTTCAGGTGTACATACACCTCAAAACTATGGGGAAACCGACAAACAGAAAAAAAGAATTATTTTTAAAAAAGGTAAAGAGGGAAAGCGCAAGCGATATTCAAACAGAAGGGCGAAAACAAGCGCTCAGACAAACTAGATAAACAAAACTAAAGAATAAAATAAATAATTAAAGAAGAACTAGAAAAAAAGCCGCGATCTTCTTCGGGTGTACATACACCTCAAAAAAAACGACGAAAATCGACGGGCCCCCACGGGGCCCCCTAGCCATCAGATATGTATTTTTGCTGCTCCTTTTAGGTATTTTGATTTATTTGAATTATTTAAACATTTATTTTGATATTTTTATTATATCTTTTTTATTTCTCGCTTTTTCTCTATGTGACGCTGCGCGCCGCACCAAATCAGGGGGGCCCCTCTGCCTGCTACGTGCAACGGACCCCGATGTTGAAGCAAAATTAGAGAAATTAACCAAATTTATATATTAAAGCAAGCAAATAAATAAATAAATTAAATAATTAATTAACAAATATGGACCAATTCATAACTATCTTCGTACTTCGCTCAAAACAGAGCAGCGACGTGGGAACAGCGAAAATATAAAACAGTTTCCCAAGCAAAACGAAACGATACGGTTCACTGTTGTTGCCGTTGCTGCTGCTGCTGCTGTTTATCCTTTAGCTGAAGCCTGCCCAGCTGGTGCTGCTGCTGCTGCCGCTGGTGTTGCTGTTGTTGCTGTTGCTGCCAAAAGGAGGCGTGTCCGTATTTGAGGCCCTACATACAACATGAACATATAAACATATAAATATATATATACATGTATATTTCAGGTGTCTGTACAGCTGAACACTTCAGGTGTATGTACAGCACACATACTGTGGATAAATGCCATTTTTTTTACTTCGCAAATCTAATAAAATAGCCAATGACCGCAAACAGTTTCTTCCTTCTTCTTTCTCTCTCCATCTACCTGCTGTTAGCCCCAGCAGCAACAGACGCAGCAACAGCAGCAGCAACAGCAGCAGCTGCTCGTGGCGCCCATGTTAAAGACAGAAAAGATGCGGAGTTGCCCGGTAAGGAAACATACTGGCTGTAATATCGATATTTATATTAATATTAATATTTGTATTCATATTAGCTATATATATATATATATATTTGTACATATATTTATGTATATATTTATGCTTATATTAATGCTTATATATATAGTTTGTAGAAATACGTTTGTGTGTCTGGGGTTTGCATGCGCCTGCATTTGAGGACAAAATTCAGTTTAATTTGAATATGCTTGATTTCAACTGCGATTGGTATATTCTTCATTTATTATTCTTTATATTTTTTTGTCTATAGAGGGATCTGCTGTTGTTTGGGGTGTATGTACAGCTCGCTGCCGGCTGAATATCTCGGTTCCTTCTACGGTTTTTCCTCCTAATTATTTTGCTGAAGACTCTTCTTCTGCTTTATTAAGTTTATTTAATGATTATAAATTAATAGAGACCCCAGAGCCGTTATATTTTGTCTCGTACGCTATCAGTGGAGCTGCTGCGGTGTACATACACTCCATAGGCAGCAACAAACAGCATAAAACAACAGACATTCTCGGAAGACAAATAATAAAAAGGAACAGAGAATTATTTTCTTTTCATCAAACTGCTGCTTTACTTCGCATTACCAATCTACATCTCTCAGTCGCTCTCGCTGTGAGCCAATGCTTCGAATACAAATAAAAATAATAAAATAATAATACCCAACAACAGCATCACCAGTAGCACAAACAACAGCAGCAGCAGCAGCATCAGCAGCAGCAGTGCCAGCAACAGCAGCAGCACCGGAAGCAGCAGCAACAGCAGCAGAAGCAACAACAACAGCAGCAGAAGCAACAGCAGCAGCAGCATAGTATGTGTTTGTTACTTTGTTTCAGCAGATGCACACAGACAAGGCATTGCTTATAGTAGACCTGCGGGAAGACGGAGCGGCCTTAAAGGAGGTCTTTGAGGGCCTGGGATCGCTTTTAGAGACGATCCCAGTGCTGCTGCAGTGGGCAGCAACACCTGGGGTGTCTGCTGAGCTGCTGCTGCTTCTCTCGCGCATGCAGGCGGTGGTGCTGCTGAACGCGCCCATGGCAATAGCGACGCGAGTGATGCTGCTGCAGCAGCTGCTGCAGCTTGTTGCTGCTGTTGCTGCAGGAACCATCGACGCTGCTGCTGCTGCTGCTCAGATACAAACAAATGCTGCTACGCACGCAGACTGCGCATGCAAATCGCAGCACCTTCCCCTCCCTGCTGCTGCTGCTGCTGCTGCACCGGCAGTAACGCCCACTGCTGGAGCGATAAAAGGCATCTCAGAAGCAGAAGCAGCAGCGTCAATACAACCAGCAGCAGAAGCCTGCGACGGTCTAGCAGCAGCAGCAGCAGCAGTATCCCAGGCAGCAGCAGCAGCAGCAGGAGGCCTCTCTTCTCCCGAGGTGTATATAACCCCCGTAGGAGACGTATATTATCTAAAGCAATTCATCTACCCCTCTAACTTGCCTTCTGTTTATTTGCGTCAGTCTGAGCTGTCTATAGAGGGCTCCCAGCAGCAGCAGCAGCTGCAGCACTTCCTCAGCAAGTGCCTACCTGCAGCAATAGATGCGAACCTACTCCGCTACAGCAAACCCCAACACTAAATGTATACAGCATATATATATATATATATATTATGTATTATTTGTACACGTTATATATATATACATATATACATATATATATTCTTTTTCAATGAATAAACAATTACCCAACAAACAACACGCAGCTAACGCTTTTTCCATCTGCTGCTGGTGCTGTTGCTGCTGGTGCTGTTGCTGCTGGTGCTGCTGGTGTTGTTGCTGCTGGTGCTGCTGGTGCTGTTGCTGCTGGTGCTGCTGTGGAGGTTGCTGCTGCCTTAATGCCTACTTGAGACGAAGAGAGAGAAATGCAAAAGAAGAGGCAAATGAAAGAAAACGAAAATAATAAGTAGACCGGCAGCAAAACGAAATGAAGTACAAAACCCCAGAAAAGTAATTAAGAGGTATAAATAAATAAATAAATAAATAAATGCAGCAAATAGCAGCTAAAGAAATATACAAAGCGAGACAAACAATACAAGCAGATCTTTCAGTAAAGGCAGCGCTGTCTCCTCTCTTCCTATTTTCTTCGTTTCCTTGTACTTTGCATAAACCCTATTCAATTAATTATTTATACAAACTATACGCTGATTTATATACCCTATTTAATTAATTGTATTACTTCTACAAACTATATATATATATATATATTATATGTAGGGCTCTGAGGTACAGCTCGTTTGAGTTGTGAATTTGTTTTAAAGCCGTGAGGTGTCTGTACACCTCAAATTGCTGTCTTTTTGTTTTTCTTTGTTTGGTTTTCTTCTTTCCACCACGCCGTACATAGCACATAATATGTTTTGCAGATATGCAGATGTACGCATACATTATATTTAATATATATACATGTCCTTAAACATATATATTATAAATTTATATACTTGAACGCACTTATACATTAAACATAATCCTTAGATTATGTTTAATAAATATATAAACTGATATTTACTGTGCACTGCGGCACAGCTAAGCAGTTCATGTCGTCTGTCTCAGTGCTGTACGCCCATACAAACAGCTGCATATATAATATATATTATATACATACGTATATAAAAAATATATACATAGACATTATATATATATGTATACATGAATGCATATATACTATATTATATACATACATACATATACATATACGCACCTCCTTATACGCCTATAGATACAAATATACACATATGTATAATATAAAAATTCTATGCATTATACATATACTGCATACATAATCCAGACCGCATGCACTTCACACAACATATATATATATGTATATATATATATATATATATATATATATATATATATATAGGTGTGCAGAACAGAGGGAGGCAAGAGACAGCTGTCTTCTCTCTCTCTCTCTTTCTCTCTTTATTTCTTTATTTCTTTATTATTTCTTTTCTGTCTTTATTCCTTCTTCTTTGTTCGGCTTTCACTTAAAGAATACGTTTATCTGAGACCAGCCCAATGATGTAACGAGCGTGAAAAGCAGCAGTTGCCACCAACATTAAAAATTCAATTCCGCTCAACCACGATAAACGCTGCAAAAAGCCCTGAGCGGCGTCGTTCAGGGAACGCTGTCGAATCCACAGATAAGAGGACTCAGCCTGCAGCAACAGCAGCAGCAGCAGCAGCAGCAGAAGCAGCAGCAGCAGCAGAAGCAGGAACGGCAATAGTAGGAATGTCTTGGTGGTGGGGCTTGCATGCATGAAGAGATTCTTCTGTGCTTTATATATATATTTATTTATATATAGGGAAGCAGAAAAAAGCGAATAAAAAAGAAAAAAGAAGTGAATGAAATAAACCAACAAAGAAGAAGAAAGCGGATAAAGAAGAAAAAGAAGAAAGCGAATAAAAAAGAAGAAAAAGAAGAAAAAAAGAAGTGAATGAAATAAAGTGGGCCATCGAACCTGAATATCTTTCAGCTGTCTCTCCAGCTGGTTAACCATTTCTTCTGCATTGTTTAAATGTTTAGGCAGCAGTGCAGTTTCTAAACCTCTTCCAATTGCGAATGTTACTGTCTTTGTCTCCATCCACCTAAATAAATAAATAAATAAAATATATAATGCATTATGTACTATGAAGTATATAAATATAATTCATCAGTAATTATCTTCTACCTAAATAAATTAAGAATTCTTCTCTATAGAAGTAAAATAACTCTTCATACATTAAAATATTTCACAATAAACCCTAATAAAAACTAATAAACCCTAGTAATAAACCCTGACACCCTAAACCCTAGACACCTCAAATAATAATAAACCCTATATAAACACCTCCACTAAACAACCCTAATAAACAAACCCTAGACCCCAGTAAAAAACCCTAAACCCTAAACCCTAAACCCTAAACCCTAAACCCTACCTGTGGTTGGAGAGAATGAACGAGTAAGTGCCTTTCTTCTTCGCCGTGAAGTAAAACAAACCTTCCGATTTGCTTTTCTTGTATATTAAATCCCCTAAACAAAGCCACAAACCCTAATAAATAAAACCCTAATAATCGTAAACCCTTAAAATAAACCCTCATCATAAACCTTTACAATAAACCCTAATTATAAACTCGAATAATAAACCCTACTAAACAACCCACATAGTAAACCCTAAACCCTTAAAGCTGCTTTGCCTCTCTATTGCGAGAAAAGAAGGCAGCAAATAATACATAAAACATAACAAAAACTATTATTCTCATTATTACCACACTACATAATATACTGCTAATTCTTAGGTGCAACTGGCTGCATGCATATACATACATATATATATCAACAAATACAAAACAAATACAAAACAAATACTAAATAACTAAATTAATTAAATAATAAACTAATTGATTAAATAATAAACTAATTGATTAATTAAATAATAATTAATTATTTAATTATATATACCGTCAGGATCCATAATAGAAAAGTCTACTGCTGTGTCGCCCTCATCGCCGCCCACGAAAAATCCGCCGCGGAGAAAAATTCCCTCAGCCTCCACCGCCTCGAAAAAATATTCGTCTGAACGCGGGCTTAAAGAAAACGTTACCTAATAAATAAATAAATAAATAAATAAATAAATAAATAAATAAATAAATAAATAAATAGATAAGTAGATAATAAATAAAATAAGAGAAGTGAAATAAATACAAATGGAAGAAAAAAGAAACTAGAAAAATGAATTCAGATTTATGAAGCATTTGCATGCAAAACATTGCATTCGTCTGAACGCTGACTTAATGAATATATTACCGAAACATAAATAATAAATAATAAAATAATAAAATAAAATATAAAATAAACAAAATAATAAAGTAGAAGAAAGGAGAAAAAAGAAATAAAAAGGATGAATTCAACTTGCAAGCAAAAAACAAACGAAGAGAGAAAAGGCGAGGCAGACAAACAATATAAACAATATAAAATATATAAACAATATAAACAATATAAACAACATAAACAAAAATGCAGCAGAATTCATCAGCAACAGCAGAATTCAGCAGCAACAACAGCAGCAACGACAGCAGCAGCAACGACAGGAGCAACAGCAGCAGCAGCAACGGCAGCAGCAGCAGCAACAGCAGCAGCAGCAACAGCAGCAGCACTGACAAGCATTTCAGGGATGAAGTTCTGCATGTGCTTCTCCCACTCCTCCATCAAACTCGCCGTCTGGTGCTCGGTGCTGTCCGCCACCTGCAACGCAAACCCTAAACCCTAAACCATCATAAACCCTCATACACCCTAATCAACCCCTATTAAAAATGCTTAACAGACGATAATCAAACGCCATAAACCCTAAACCCTAAGCCTTAAGTTCTAAACCCTAAGAACACCCCTGACTATAAGCCCTAAAAACCCTAATAACCCTAAACCCTAAACCCTAAACCCTAACGAGACCCCTGACTATAAGGCCTAAAAACCCTAACAAATCTTAAACAACACCCTGCCAAACCCTAGACAGCTCCAACAGGGCTCTAATAAACCCTAAACCACCACAATAAACCGCAGCAAACCCTAAAGAGCCTTCTAAACCCTAATAGCTGTCTTCTAAGCGGCAATACCCTCCCTCCCCCCGCTGTCTAAAGCAAACAATAACAGACACGCTGCAGCACCTAACCACTTCTGCTGCTGCTGCTGCTGCTGCTCCTGCTGCTGCTGCTGCTGCTCCTGCTGCTGCTGCTGCTGCTGGTTGGGGTGTACGTACAGCTCCTTCTTCCGTGCGCCGCGGCTGATATTCAGGAGTCATCTCCTCTGCAGCAATCGGAAGGCCGTCTCCATAGGGGGTAGGCTCATCTGTTTGTCTTTGTTTTTGTCTTTTCTCTTTCTGCTGCTTCTTCTCCTTCTTGCTGTTGCTGTTGCTGCTGCTGCCGCTGCTGCTCTGCGGCTCCGCACGGGTCGGCTGCTGACGCTCCTGCGTCGGCTGCTGCCGCTTCCCTGACTGCTGCTGCTGTTGCTGCTGCTGCTGCTGCGGTGCCCTGCCAGTTTGCTGCTGCGGAGGAGGGGCCTGGTACTGTGGGGGAGGAGGAGGTGGTGGCTGATAGTACTGCTGCTGCTGATGCGGCTGCTGCTGCTGCTGCTGCGCAGGGGGCGGTGGCGCCGGCTGTCCATACTGCGGCGGAGGCGCCTGGTATACTGGCGGCTGCTGCTGCTGCTGCTGCTGCTGCTGCTGATATGCTGGTGGTGAATAAGTGTGCTGCGGCTGATATGCACCACCGTGATGTTGATAGCTCGGCGGCTGCTGCTGCTGCTGCTGCGCGTACCTCTGGTCTGCTGCGTAGTAAGCCTGTGCTGGCGGCGGTGGAGGTGGCTGCTGCTGCTGCTGCTGCTGTGCATGCACGTGCTGCTGCCGAGGATCATGTGAATAGGCATACTGCGCACCAGCGGGAGGAGGCGCCGCATAGCCCCCAGAAGGTTGCTGCTGCTGGTATCCGGGTTGCTGCTGCTGCTGCTGCTGCTGCGGCGGCGGCGGAGGGGCCTGCTGCTGCTGCTGCTGCTGCGGGGGAGCAGCAGGAGGAGTGTACTGCTGCTGCTGCTGCTGCTGCGGTGGTGGCGGTGGAGGCGCTGAAGCTCCTCCTGCTTCTGGGGCGGTGTATGTAGCAGGGGGAGACTGCAGCAAGAAGAGACAGACACACAGACAGAGACAGCAGCAGCAGCAGCAGCAATCAAATGAAAATGAACAATAGAAATACAGAAAGGCAAACAAAGAGTTAAACAAACAACTAAAGCAGGGCATGCAGCAAAAGGCACCCATAGATGTTGTAAATAGAAAGAAAGCGAAGCAGCCAAAGATAGAAAAGGAGAGGCCATTAGGAAGAAAGATATACACAAAGCATAACAGCGTCATATTGCTGCACTTAAAGCAGCAGCAGCAGCAGCAGCAGCTGGTGCTGCTGCTGTTTGCTGCTGGCGTTTTCGTTTACCTGTGGAGGTGGCTGTGCTGCGAGGGCCCCAAAGTGTAGGAGGCTAATGAGAGCAATTGCAGCAGCAGCAGCAGCTGCTGCTGCTGCTGCACGTGTGTACAGCGGCATGATGGGTGTCTCTGTTGTGTCTAGGGTGTATCTGCAACAAGATATATCTGCTGCTGCTGTGCTGCTGCCTCTGCTGCAGCAGGCGGTCTAATTAAACCTCTGCTGCGGAGAGAGAAAAGGAGGTGAGTTCGTAGCAGCAAGAGACAGCCCGATACTGATGCCGATGCTGTAGTTAGGAGACACGGGTCCCTATACCACTGTGTTGCTGCTGCTGCTGCTGCTGCTGCTGGTGTTTCTGCTGCTGCTGTTGCTGCTGCAGCTGCTGCTGCGTTGCCCTTAGGCTGCCACGCGGGCCCCGCTGTGTGTCTGCTGCTGATGCGGCTGCAGCAGCTGCTGCTGTTGCTGCTGCTGCGAGACGCCGCGGTGTCTGGCGCTGCTGCTTTGTATACGAAAGAAGCGAAGTGAGGCGCTTCCTGCTGCATGCAGAAGAAGAAGAAGAAAGAGGCAAAGGGCCTACAGCAGCTCTATACAACAATTCAGTGAATACTTGTTGCTGCCGCTGCAGCAGCTGCCGCTGCTGCTGCTGCTGCTGGCAGCAAGGCTGCCGACCGCCGCCGTTGTATAGAGGGGCGCCTTGTTATGGCTGGTGGTGATTATATGTCTGCTGCTGTATTTAAATGAAAATAAAATAAAATAATGTATTAATATAATAAATTTAAATAATTAAATAGATTTTAACAAATAAATAAGAGGCTTACACTCCAACCTCTCCTCAATATTGTAGGGGCTGCGCTGCGCCTCCCCTCAGCTGCAGCAGCCGCAGCCGCAGCAGCAGCAGCAGCAGCAGCAGCTGCTGCTGCTGCTGCTAAGGCTACTGTTGCTGCTGCAGCTGCTGAGTTTGCAAGAGGGCTTTATCATCATTTTCTTCTTGTTTTGTTTCGCCGCCTGCACCGTTTGATTTAAAATGGGAGCGTGTAAGTAGAGCAAAGAACGCCACACTGTCTATACACCACAGAGCCCACAGCAGCAGCAGCAGCAGCAGCAGCAGCAGCAGCAATGAGGGCGCCCCATAAGGGGTGTTTGTTTTATTTGTTGCTGATGTTGGTTGTGTTTCGATGCTAAACGGGTTTTACTCTCGTACCAACTGTGTTTCTTGCTGCTGCTGCTGCTGCTTCTGCTGCTGCTGCTCTTCTGCTGCATGTGGAGCCTGCCGTGGGGCGGCTCTTCTCTTGCTTGTATTTGTTTATTACTTGAGGGGCTTCTTTATTTTCTCTTCTTTTTATTATTTGTCTCTGTATACGTCTCTATTGAACGACCTCTACTTCTTTTCCTTATCAACCCTGTGGCGTCGATCTGCATGCTGATGCTGCGCAGCAGCAGCAGCAGCAGCAGCAGCAGCTACTGCTGCTGTTGCTGCTGGTGTTAATTACATGCGTGAAGAGTTTCTTCGTCTTTGCTTCTTGCTGCTCTTAGCTGGTGCTGTGGGCTGTGCTTCTGTTGCTGCTGCTGCTGCTGCTGTATATAGATGAAGCTCTCTGTGGGTCTGTAGAAGTATAGCTGTTAGTTTGTGTTGTTCTTTTGCTTGTTGATGTTCCTGCATTTGCATTGGCGGAGGCATCTGCTGTTTACAGCCAGCTGCATGCATGCATGCATGTATAGTGACATGCATGCATATATAGTGTAGGGCATGCATGCATGCACGCAGCGGAACATATATATATGTATATATATATATATATATATATGTTCATGCATTGATATATATATATATATATCAATGCATCTATGGTGCATGCACATTGTACATAGTATATAAACTTTATATAATATAAACACATACATATATGTATATAATAGCTTATATATGAATCGATATAAAGGTATATAAATATACATATATGTATCAACACACACAAATATATATACACATAATATATATATACACATAATATATATATATACATACATATATATTTATTTATTTATATGCATGCGATGCAGGCAAGCCTCGTGGTATGCGCACTGCGCGCAAACTGCGCAACCGCCGACGGGTGCAGAAGTGGGCTGACAAACAATACAAGAAAGCGCACCTGGGTACTCGCTGGAAAGCCAATCCTTTTGGAGGCAGCTCGCATGCAAAGGGCATTGTTGTTGAAAAATTAGGCATTGAAGCCAAGCAGGTGCTTTATATTCATTTGTGTGTAGGCTTTTCTTATGTGCTTATGTTATATATTTATGTTTATGTTATATATATATATATATATATATATGTTTAGTATATTTTGTTTATATCGTGTTTTTTACTGCATATATATATATATATATATATATATATTTATTTATTTATTTTATATTAGTTGGATTATATGCGTGCATAACAAATATCTCGTTTTTGTGTTGGTGTTATGTCGAGAATAATAATAATAATAATAATAATAATAATAATAATAATAATAATAATAATAATAATAATAATAATAAACATGTATAATAATAGATGATATTGTTATTTGTAATTGTGCTGTCTTCAGCCTAACTCAGCTATTCGTAAGTGCGTGCGCGTCCAGCTGATTAAGAATGGGAAGAAGATAACTGCGTTCGTCCCTCGCGACGGTTGCTTGAATTATATCGATGAAAACGACGAAGTACTTGTTGCAGGGTTTGGGCGTTCGGGTCATGCAGTAGGTGATATTCCAGGGGTCCGCTTTAAGATAGTTAAGGTCTCTGGTGTCTCTCTCCTTGCTTTGTTCAAGGAAAAGAAAGAGAAACCAAGGTCTTAATTCATTGCCTCTTGCTGCTGCATGCATGCGCCCTTGGCGGCTGCCTGTGGCTCATGCTGGGGGCACTTAGGAGAGGCATCTATGAGCCCCTCCTTAAGCGTCTCCTGCTATGGGGAAAGACGTAGGCGCAGCAGCACCACCAACAGCAATTGCTGCTGCTGCTGCTGCTGCAGCGCAGACGGCCTCCTTGAAAATATATTATTATTTACCAGTTGGTTCGTGGGGGCGGAGGATGAACACAGGCGGAAACTTTCATTTTGTGTTGCATTAATTATAGTTGGGGAATAGTCATTGTAGTTCTTGAGGCTATAGAGTCCGCACGCTTGTTAGACTGCAGCAAATAGATGCAGCGCTGTGCAAGCAGTTGAGTTTATTCTTTTAGAGTATTTGCCTTTGTTCTTAGCATGCAAATAGAGGGAAAAGGCAAAGAAATAGAAATACGGACTTACTTCTCTCTTTCTTTTGAGAAGAGTTTGACGGATAGAGGTCCTCTTCATGCAGCTGCGGAATATACATTTTAGAGTGGAGGCATCTGCTGTTCTGTTGTTGGCTGTTGGCCGAATTGTTGCGTTGTTAATGCAGCAAACAAGGGAAAATTAAGAGGTTTCAGTTAGTTGAAGATGTCTGAAGACACATAATCTAGGGCAGGCGGCGTTGGTGAGGTGTACATACACCTGAAATTCAGCGGCGATCGTTCATTCAACTTTCCTCAGCTTTCTGGTGTTTTTCCTCAGAAACCTGCTTAGAGTTGTGAGGGAATAGCCTATTGATCTTTCAGTGCTTATCTCGTGAAGAAAGAGTTGTTTCGACAGTTGCAGTTAGCATAATGCAGTTTTCTTTTCTTTTTCAGTCGAACACCAGAAGCAGTGATGATGCTGTCAGTCACGATAAACAAACTGAAGAAACTTCGATGCAGCCGGCGCTCTTTTCCCTTCCGCTTCCTTGTGAAGACTTCGAAATGCAGAAGAAGGAACAAAATGATGAAATTAATGAACTTACAGAAGAAATTCACCTTGAAATGACTGAAGCACGCGCATGCATTTGCAAACTTGAGCGCCTGATGCAGCTGGAACAGAAACTCTCCGAAATATCTCGAATAACAGAAGACGTCAATTCGTTTCGCGAATGGATAGCGAAGACTGACGAGTTGAATAAAAGTCAGCTTTCCACTTTTCTTGTGCATCTTCTGGGGTGTATGTGCACCTCCGTTTCCGTTACTACTGCTGGCCTCCTGCAGAAATGATACAGATACAAGAAGACAACGACCGCCTCAGTGCTCAATCATTGCTTCTGCAAGAAGAGGCGATCCACCTGCAACGCGGGGGCCTCCAAATGCAACAGGAATACGAAGAAGTTCAACGTAGCATCATACGTGAATTGTGCAGGTATGCACCGCCTTAGGGGCCTCAGCAGCTGGATAATATTGATGATTAACACCGCGTAAACTCTGAGATAAAACCTCTCTTTACAGACAGCAGGAGCTTTCGCTTTCTCTGGAGCAAGCTGCAGTAAGAAGAGATCTGTCCATTCATAATATTAATTCATTTACGCTTAATCGGCACCGTCTTCTTAGCACGCACACACAGACAACAGCCCCACCAGTTTGCAGCTGCATGCAAATACTGCAGCAAACAACCGGGTAAGCCAACACTTGTTTTGCTGCTGCACTGCCCTCGTGATGCACTTCAATATCAAACAGAAAAGAAACATCGAGGAGGCCCCTCACCTGCAACAGGGGCTCCCACACGGTCTTCTAGGTGCTGCACAGCAGCAGCCTCAGGCCGCAGCACCTTCAGCGGGAGCAGCAGCAGCAGCTGGCGCTGCAGCGTCAACCGATCCTGCTTTCACTACCACTACTGCTGCACTTGAGCCTGCTGCTGCTGCTGCACCTGCTGTTGCTGCAGCAGCAGCAATACCAGCAGCAGCAGCAACAGCAGCAGCAAGAGCAGCAGCAGTAGCTCAGCCAGGAGCGTCGAAGGCAACAACGGTAGAGGGTCCACCACAGAAGCGCCTTTACTTCGGCATGCTGCTGGTAAGTAGAGGAATTGAATTGAAATGTCTTTAAGTTTTTCTGTAGTTGTAAGTAAAGAATAAAATAATATCTTTATAGTTTTTCTTATTGCAACAACCGCTGATATACAGGCAAACAACGCTAGAAGACCCGGCAAGAGGGTAACAACATTTGCTGCAAAGGGTCTAACAGCAGGGAAGCGTCCTTCAACATATGCAGTGCACTTAGTAAGAATTTTCATCTGCTGCATGCACTTGTGATTAGACAATTAACGATGCATGCACGCAGAAGCAGCAACAGCCGTGTCAGCAGCAGCAGCAACAACAGCAACAGCAACAGCAGCAGCGGCACTTAAAGGCGTGTGGATCGAAGCAATAAATAAGAATAGCCAGCTGAAGCTATTTGTGTCTGTCTGTCTTCGTTTTATTGTCTGTTAGACAAGAAAAGCTGTCTGTACATTTGTGCAGAACAAACAAAGACACTGTATTGCGTTTATTGTTGCTACAAATGAAATTCATTAAAACACAGTATTCCGTTCGTGACCAGTGGTCACCTGCTGTAAAAAGCCGTCCTGCCTTCTCCTCCTGCATGGGCGTGCCCAGCGCAGCGCAGCTGCAGCTCCTGCTGCTGCTGTTGCTGCTGCTGCTGCTGCTGCTGCGCAAGGCCCCAAGGCCTGCGTCTCGGTCTCCTGTTTGTAAGACCACAAAAAAATCAGGAGCCGTAGATAAGGTGGAGAGGGGAGGCCTGTGGTTGGGCTGCAGTGTTGCATATCTGTGCATACACCGCAGGGTGTCTGTGCAGGTGTGTGCATGCATGCATACATACATGCATGCACACATGCATGGTATGATGAGAGACGGAGAGAAGACGTCAGAAGTTGTGAAAGAGAGCCTGCTGAGTAGCAGAGTCAATAACAGGCGCTGAGGACTCGGTAGATTCTGCGTAAGTATCGAACATGCTGCTGTCTCTGGGTCCTTGTATATTAGGTTTATAAGGGGGTCTAATCTTTCTTTGATAACAGAGCTCCCAGTCAATCCCTCTAAAGAACTTGTGGTTTTTAACATCTTCAGCACCATCCTTAAGACAGCCGTAGCGTTTATTAGGCTCATGAATAAGCAGCCTTTTAATAAGAGACTTAGCAGAACAATCAAAGAGTGCAGGAAACTCGATTTTACCGGCGATGATTTTTTTATATATACCTAAAGGTGTATCATCAACAAAAGGAGGTCTCCCTGCTAACATCTCAAAGAGAAGAATGCCTAGAGCCCACCAGTCTACTTGTAAACCATGTCCTCTTCTTGTTATAGACTCTGGGGCTAAGTATTCATGAGTACCGCACAATGTCCACGTTCTCCCGACAACAACCTTCGCGAAGCCGAAGTCTGTAATCTTAATATGGCCCTGTGCATCTATTAAAAGGTTCTCTGGCTTAAGATCCCTATAAACTATACTCCTTTCATGCAGATACTGAAAAGCTAATGTTATCTCAGCTGCATATAATCGAGCCTGCTCAACTGGCACTGATATCTGCTTACGCAAATAACTAAATAACTCCCCGCCGTTTACATACTCCATCAACAGAAACAAACGCTTTTCGTCTTGAAACGATGCCTGCAATGTTATCACAAACAACACAACCAACTATATATATATATATATCTGCATATACACCTCGTATATATATATATATATGAATGTACATTTATGTATACACTTATGTATTTATATCCTATGAAGACAAACTGTACACATAATATACGAATAGTATTAATAGATATTTGAATGTGTGTAATTATATATATGTATATATACTTACATGCATATATATATACACGCATATATATAATGTATATGCATATATACATTAATATAATATATATATTTATACATTATATATATATATATCCAAGAATAGAATAAGGGATTGAGTCTTACGAGTAGGTTGACGATGAAAGGGTGGCTGAGCTGTGCGAGTATTCTGCGTTCGTCTTTGACGTGTTCAACTTGTTTCATAGTAATAACTTTTTGTTTGCTTAATATTTTTAACGCCATAGGCGGATACCACTCCTCAGCCTGCTGTAAATCGACGATACAAACACGTCCAAAGGAGCCGGTGCCCACAGTACCGTAGAAGACGAAGTCTTGAATCTGTAGCTTCCGCTGCTGCAGCTCTTCTCTTACCATATGCAGCACCTCGCTACTCAAATGCTGCTGCTGCTGCTGCTGCTGCTGCTGCTGCTCGCTATCCGATGACTCATGTGCTGCTCCTTCGTCTACAACAGACGGACGCGTGCTGCTGCCCGACACCAGAGAGTCTATACGACAGCCACCCATTAGCTGTATGCTGCTGAGCTTCCCCCACACCCGGCCTAAAGATCCCTTCAACCTCTGGCTGCTGCTGCTGCTGTTGCTGTTGCTGCTGTTGCTGCTGTTGTTGCTGCTACTACTGTTGCTGTTACTGTGCAATATGAGCAACAGAAATAAATAAATTAAATATATAAAGCAGAGACACCACACGCCGCTCCTGAACGCCCGAGAAGATGCGGCGAAGTTAATAGACGCTGCACTGATACGAACTCCCCCAGCAAATTCAAACAGAGCAGCGCGGTACACCCCTGCTGCTGCTGCTGCTGCTGCTGATACTCTTGCTGCTGCTGCTGCTGCTGCTGCTACTCTTGCTGCTGCTGCTGCTGCTGCTGATACTCTTGCTGCTGCTGCTGCTGCTGCAGAGGCTGCTGCTGAGAAGAGAAGAAAAGCACTGACAGAGACGACGGCTTGGTTAGCGACTTAAAACGACAAGAGCCAAGCAATAAACAATAATATATATAAAGCAGTAAAATATAAAGAAAAACGAAACAGATAATAATTACTCTACCCTAAAATTGCTTCCCGACGCACAAATATGCTTCGGGTGTCTGTACACCGTAATATGGCGGCCCCCGGCCGCCCCACAGTTGAAGACAGCGAAATATGCTCCCTTAACCTGCTGCAGCTGCAGCGGCAGCCTCGAATGCTTCTGCAGTAGCAGCAGCAGGAGGAAGAGGAGGAGGAGCAGCAGCAGGAGGAGGGGGAGCAGCAGCAGCAGCAGCTTCTGGGTTGCCGTGCTGCTGGCTGCGTTGTCTCGCCCCCTGCTCTGCGTCTGTATAAGAAGCCGCGTAGCTGCTGGCTGATTTCTGTAGAGTATTTGTCCGTAGGTAAGATAATAAATAAACAATAAGAAGACGTATGCATGCGTTTACTCTTTATTAGAAGTACACTCTAATAAAGATATAAACATGCAGCAGCAAAAGAGCAGATTATATATATAGTGCTGCTTTATGCTGCTGCTCTTGCTGCTGCTGCTGCTGCTGCAGTCTTCTTAAGAGCGCTGCCACTTCAACACCCATTTAAAAAAACAAAAGAAAAGAAGATTTACTTCAGCATCTGTACACAGGGAGACAAGCATCTATACCAGCAGCAGCACACTGCTGCTGTTGCTGCTGCTGCTGTCTTTCCTGCTGCTGCTGCTGCTGCTGCTGCTGTTGCTGCTGCTGCTGCTGCGCAGCTTAAGCCCAAAACGAAGAAGACAGAGAAAGAGAGAGAGCTAAAGAAGAGGGGCCTCTCTAGCGACGCCGCAGCTGCAGATATATATATAAATATACATACATATAAGTTGTCTACCAGGGGGATTTGTTTGCTGCTTGTCGAAGAATTGTTGAAGAGAGAGAGACAAATATAAACCCAAGCAGCAGCAGAAGAGAGTCAACAAACAAAACCGCGCCCAGCAGCAGCAGCAGCAGCAGCAGCAGCAACAGCAGCAGCAGCAGCAGCAGCAGCTGCAGCGGGCGGGTAAATGAGGAGGCGCAGCAACAGTATAAAAAGACAGAGATGAAAGACTCTACATAAGAATAACTACAAAGATATTACTGAACAGATAATATAAATGCAAAAAAAGACAGAGCCAACGCCTATGTATAAAAGAAGCAAATACGGACGCGTGGGGGGAGGGCAGCAGCAACAAGAAAGAAGTATAGCTGCAGCACCTTAGTTTGTTTCTCCTTCGCCAGAATTCAACAAGTAAATCAAAAAGATATCCTAAACATATAAACCAAACAAAAGCAACACACTTATACACGCAGCAGCAGCAGCAGCAGCTGCTGCTGCTGCTGCAGCAGCAGCAGCAGCAGCAGCAGACGTCTGTGTACAACAGGGCTTGCAGCAGCAACCCTTAGAAACACCAGCATTAATAAAGAGCTGCCTATACACCTGAAAGCAATATATTAATGTCCGTCTCTTCTGCATTGTTTTCTATGTTTTCTTCTTCTTTTTAATTCAATAATTTATTAAGAAGTAAAACAAATAAAACAATAAATATGCAGCTACAGAGACAGCCCTACTATACCCACTGTTGTAGGTGCTGCTGCAGCTGCTGGCGGTGTCTGATATAAATGTCTACTATATATATTTAGGTGTACATACACCTCATTAAAAACCTTATTATTGTACTTTCTTTATAATTAACCCCTTTATAATTTATTTTTTTTCTTTTCATCATCTCCCCTACACACGCAGCAGCAGCAATCTTATTTAATTAAAAAAATATATATATTTCTTTTTGTTTCTTTGGTGAAGAAACAAACAAACAAATAATATATCTTCTCTTCAGCCGGCTGCACGAAGACGCTGCAGCACCTTCAGCAGCTTTAGAGCTACATATTTTTTTGTTTATTGCTGCTGCTTCATTTAGAGTTGGTAAGACTCTGTTTATGTGTTCTTTTGCTTCTTTCTTCTCCTTCTTCTCTTCTTTCTTTGTTCTTATTACAGATATACAGCAGTATATTATCTCCTAAATAGAAAATGTGCAGCAGCAGCAGCAGCAGCAACACTATGCATGCATTCAATTCTCTTGAGGTGTATGTACAGCTCAGCAACTTGCTGCTGCATTTTTCGTTTTTCGCTGCTCTTAACTTCATATTGACGCTGCTAAAGTAGCGGAGAGATGGCGTTGATGTCCATACCTAGACGCTCTCCCCCTGTCTTGTTCTGCTGCTGCTGTTTCTGCTGCTGCTGCTGCTGTTCATGCTGCTGCTGTTCATGCTGCTGCTTCTGTTCATGCTGCTGCTGCTGTTCATGCTGCTGCTGCTGTTCATGCTGCTGCTGCTGCTGTTTCTGCTGCTGCTGCTGTTAATGCTGCTGCTGCTGTTTATGCTGCTGCTGCTGTTTCTGCTGCTGCTGCTGTTCGTGCTGCTGCTGCTGTTTCTGCTGCTGCTGCTGTTCATGCTGCTGTTTCTGGCGCTGCTGCTGCTGTTTCTGGCGCTGCTGCTGCTGTTCATGCTGCTGCTTCTGCTGCTGCTGCTGTTCATGCTGCTGTTTCTACTGCTGCTGCTGCTGTTCTTGCTGCTGCTGCTTCTGCTTTATGCTGGCGGTGGTGTTTCTGTTGCCTCTGCTGTTTCTGATGCTGCTGCTTCTGTTGATGCTGCTGCTGCTGTTTCTGCTGCTGTTCATGCTTCTGCTTCTGTTTCTGCTGTTTCTGCTCTATCTGCTGCTACATACATGAAGATATATTTGAACATTATATATATATTTAAATATATATATGTAGATAAAGATATGTTTAAATATATATATATATATATATATCTGTCTACAGAGAAATGAGTTTAGAAGCGTGCATGTTCTGCATAGACAGCAGCGCCTTCACATTAAATAAAC